AATCTACATTAGCTTATCATCGGTAGTTACGTGATTTATAACTGTGGTCAGTTTCATGGTATCATGGAGACAATGTTTTGAATAATTTAGATTAATATTTTGAGCATAAGAATTCCATTGGAAATGACCTGAAATGATAATCTTTTATAAACTTCCTAATTTGCATAAATAAAATCTACTCCCCACAAAATAAATAAATAAAATAAAATAAATACATTAAAAAATTAATTGAAACCACCCATTATGTTTCAAATTTTTTTGTTAGAATAATTTGATTTTGATATTGTTTAACACAATTAATTACATTTTGTCGCAATATATCTTACATAGAATAGTGATTTTTTTTTTCATGTGTCAATGTTTAGCCACAATTTTATTTGTTATGTTTTTTTTTTCTGTTCTTTTTTTAGGAACTACCACTTCCATTCACATCCATTGCACCTTTTTGAATTTTGGGCTATGTGTACACTAATGGAGCCTGATGCCCCCAAGTTTTTCAGGCATCACCTTAAAGGTAAATTGACACCATAACCATGCAATGATCATTTTTCTTACCTCTCACTGTGACTGTTCCTGTAACCAGGAGCAGAAAGATGGTAATCCTCAAACCAGCCTCCATGATGACCTTGGTTAATTCTTTGTGCTCAAGACAAAATAAAAGTCAGCAGCAGCACAGCAGAAGTGGCTATGTACCAGAATTACAGGCCTGAACCTTTTAAAGACGGTCTAGGTGTGTCAGGCTCAGACGGGGTCCGTATATCAGACATATTGCAAAAGAATATTCTTAATGAACCAGAAAAAAGGTGATTAGTTTAAAGCCAACTGTAATTACTGAGCAATTAGTGGTGAGTGGTGAAGTAAATATTATGTTACCATTACTGTAATAGAATAAGGAGACCCCCCCGGTGGTCACATTGTGACATTACAGTAAAGAGAGGGAAAAGAAAGACCATCAATAACCAAATGATAAAATATAAAATTATGTAACTCCAGCAGTTGTTGATCCACCAAACCAAATGACAATGAATTATTGAATCAGTAGATATGAAATATTTATTGGTCTCAGCCAATGAGAATGCCCAATATAGTGGACAGATTACAAATTACTATGTTAGGTAATGTAACTTATAATTACATACATCAATATAAAGTAGCAGTATCATTAATTAAGTCTGTGATCCTTCATCCCTCTGTATCCAAGGCGATCCTGGTGGCTTTCTTCATCTTCACCATTCTACTCATTCTCTACCTGATCCTGTGACACATCTGTCAGGATGTGGATTGTGACCAGATCTGAGGGACTTTAAGGTCTCATATTGTGTAAAGGTAAATTTCCATGTCTTTTTTTTTATCATGAAATATATTATGAATAAAACAATCTATATTAATACTGTGAAAATATCAAAGCACTCAGTCCACAGAGAAAAGCACACAGCCTGTATTCAGAAACTGAGCCTTAAACCCAGCCGTCAGGACTTCCAGAACTTGGTGATGTCACAACAAAGCAGTCACTGGCCTTAAGCCTCGCCCACCTGGACCCACCATTCAACCTTGCGGGATTTGGTTTCTCTGAGTGTTTACCTGAAAGCTGCTATATTTTTATTACATCATGCAGAAAACAGTCAGCTAATCAGAAGAGAGGCTTACAGTCCCCTCTCTACTGATTTGATTGATCTCTTCTGATGGTCATTGCTAATCCAAAATGATTTAGTGCAAACAAGCACGAAAGAAAAAAATGTACAAACGGTCAAAAGGTGAAAACATTATCATATGACGACCTATCAGATATTTCTGGTGACCCTTTGGCCTGAGCCCTAGATTTGAAGACCCCTATAGGATAAACTAACTGTAACTAAATGTATATAGAGGAGTTAAACCCAGCTCAACCTGTACCAGCAAAATGATACTTACTAACATAATGTCAGGTGTGGTGATATATATCAGTCACAGGGGACATTTTACTTTAACTTTTTTCATCATAATACTTACAGTATGTACTTTTGCCTAAGTAAAGGATCAGTTTACATCATAGACTGATGATAAACAGTAGAAGAACTTTCCTCTTGCAGTTAGTCCAGAATATGGAGGTCCAGTTTGCTTGGGAACCAGTGAACCTGGAGAATATGTCTTTGAATATGTCTTTAGTACTACCACTTTTTTTTTTCCGATTTCTGGACATTCATGAGGCTTAGATCACGGGGGATTGTAGCTATTTGGATTTATCTTAGACCTTTACTGGTTCATAAAAAAGCTGTAATGGCAGCTGCTTGGAGTAGTTGACGTGCCTTATCAACTTGCCAGTACAAGTTGCCATTGGCCAATCATATGCATGTCAGCACAGACTCCTGACTGAGTATTTCTGTTGTTTACCTGAGATCAGGCCAATAGACTTTGGGCCATCATTCTAAGTAAAATAATCATCCTTTAAAGCTGCACCGATCAGATCACATGGAATTGCTAACACGTTCACCATATCAGCCTCATAGCATGATGATATGTCAGTATTGTGTTTACAAAAAGTCAATTAACGCAACTTTAAATTAACTTTTTTTATGCCTGTGTGGAGACATTATGTTTTCAGGTTGTACGTACACACCGCACCACAGGTTGGAAACCACTAGATTAGAATTTGGTGGTCAAAGGTCAAAGGTTACACATATAGTTTTACTAATATTTACTGTTGTACACTCTACATTTTTTTCTGAGCCTCTATAATAGATATAAAGTCAGCCTTTAAAATAACCATTTTGGTCATTTTGAAATTATACAATTGTCCCATGCTGCAAATTTCCCAGACTCTCAGAAAAGGCACATGCTGTCTGGAAGAATCAATGTACACTATTGAAGCATTCTTCATGGCGTGCTGCTCAACAAGAATTCTTGTGGTGAGGTGGAAAAGATTAGTAATAGAGTGGGATCATTGTGTGTATTCAGGCCATATTTGACATCTGGGAGCGTATCTACTAATAAATGTTCTTGTAATATGAATTTCTTAACCACCGCTTGAAATGTGACTGATAACTTTTTCCTGCAGGGGGCTGAGACCTATCATGGTCATGCCTTTTTCATTGGTTATAAATTGAACATTTCTAAAACACAGGTCCTCTCCTTTAATTATACACCGAGCAAAACAATCAGACTGGAATATAAAATAAAGTGGGATTCAAAGTCAATAAAATACTTGGGTGTATTACTCATACAGGAGTTGAACAAAATTTATAAAATAAGCTACAAGTCCATAAATGATAATATTCAAAAAGATATCAGAAAATGGTCAACACTAGTGTTAGATTTTAGTTCAAGGATTGAGGCAGTGAAGATGAACGTGTTGCCAAGGTTGCTGTACCTCTTTTTATCTTTGCCAACCAGAATCCCAGAATCTCAGTTTACAGCATGGGATAAACAGTTATCTAGGTTTATTTGGGCAGGAGCTAGACCAAGGGTTAAATTGATCCCACTCTATTACTAATCCTTTCCATTTCTTCATGTGTATCTATGACAGCACGGCATGAAGAATGATTCAATAGTGGATATTGATTCATCCAGAAGGACTGTATGTGCCTTTTCTGAGAATCTGGGGAAATTTCCAACCTGGGAAATTTTGTGTGTATAATTTAAAAATGACCAAATATGTTATTTTATAGGCTGATTTTAGTATTTAAGACTCTTTATATTTATCATAGAGGCTCAGAAAAAGTCTATGAGACAGAAAATGGAGCACTTAGACCTTCATTTTGGGAAATGCTGAACAATATCTTTGTAAAAGCTGATCAAATTAACAATGTGATATGAAATCATGAAGTCATATGCCGGTTTATTGCAATAAGTGCAGACTTGTTCACAAGTCAGATCATAGACCAAAAAATAATCATGGAAAAATGCTGGAAAGTCGGCTTTGGTTTTATAGACAATAAGTGCTTCAGTATGGCTGTGGTGATTCTTCCTCAGGCTGAGACTCAGGAGGTTTATCCATGGTGACACTGTCGCTTTGTGAGCACGGAGCAATGCCCATTGGCTTTTGCACATGCACTACACAAAGGTCGTGTGTGGTGTGGACAGCCTGACAAATGCATTGCCTAGATATGGTGGAGGCCGGTCAGAGGGGGTTCAGTTATAGCAGAAAAGCAGTGGTACCATAAAAATCCTTTAATGGCCCCAAATTGTTTGCATATAGTGCTGCAAGGATGATTTATTTTTTTAGGCTAACCCTGGCTAACCCAGGTCCCCTCAACAAAAAGCCAGTATTAAGTATTTTCACATTGGCTTTTGGATTATTACAGAAAATAAACTCTGTGACAGTTTATGATACCGACTCATTTTGTTTAGAAAGTTAATCTTCACTAATTAAACTTTTATGATTTTTGAAGCCTAAATACATGGCTTGGAGTAAATAGCTAATATTAGGCTGTAAATGAACTACACCACCATTGCAGGAATTATGACTGGTAGTTATCTTAGTTTAGTTTTAAAATGTCTTGAGCTTGTGTTTGCCACAGACCTTATCTCAGTCATCTAAACCCATTCAAAAAACCCATAGACTTAAGTACAAGGGAACAGGAAGTTCTAAAATGCTAAATAATTTCGTGGTTTATGGACTCATCCCTGGAGTTTAACACAATGTCTATATATGCTGCCTATAAAAGCAGCAAGTTAAGGTTGAGTTAAGGTTTTAGGCTGTGTATCATAGTAACTTTGCAAATTAAAAAGTGTTAAATGAGTTTAAGTGGATTTACTCATGGAAGTTTCCCCCTGCAGCTTTTCTGTAACAGTTATTAGCAACTACAATCAGCTTTATTCTATAATTCAATACACTCATAAGATGTATCAGGAGAGAAAAATAAGCTTTCTTGTCTTAATACTTAATCTGTAGCATTTTTGTGGGATCTTGTGACGCAATTTTCTTAGGGGGCAGAACCCACGGAGAGACTTATCTGGCGCGGGCAGCGACCCGGACTTATTTCGGTGAAGTACAGTGGGACTCGGAAGCTGTTCGGTGGAACGCAAGAAGGATGTGGCTGCAGAAAGTGTTGGTGCCTCTCCTCAGACTGTATCTATGCGGAATTAAAGTCCTTCTGTATCAGATGTTCAACAGATCTTTTACGCTACCAGGTCAGATACATTCACATTTACTAGATACTGTCTGCTTATTTGCATACAATTTCCCATTGCCTGGGACATGCTGCTTTTGTGTGCCGAACTCCGTGAGAAAAACATCTTCGATACTTCTGTCTTATATATAGACGAAAGATAAAAAATAGAAAAGAATGGCGTCAGTCACTTTTAACTTAAGTATCTTTTGGTCAGTTCGGCATACATCTGATTCACAAAGCTTGTGAAGTTAACGAGTTTAACGACTGATTCACTCGGTACAGCCCATTATAACCTTCCACCCAAATACTCAGAGATAACACTGTAAACCAGAGCTGTAAAACTGTGGTGGACGTGTAGTGTAGTGGAAACATCAAGTGTATGTGGAATCAACCAGAAAAGCAGCCACTGAAAGAGAACAAGACTAATTTTGTAGAGAGTCACGGCAGCATTAAATTGGTGGTATTTTGAACGGGGTTTGGTGACGCTGCTTGCTCGTTGCTCTAATTAGCCAGCTGGGGTGACAGCTTCCCAATAGCCAGTGTATAATTTGTAATATTGAGTGTATCTGCTAAAATAATGCTGTATTAGACATTAAAATAAGATTAAGTTCACATTAAGTGATTAAATTGCATGTTTTAATGTAAAAACTTTTATTTTGAAATTAACCAGAGAACCTGGTCATACACCTTTTTATTAGTAAAAAGAAAAACCTCTATGAGACTTAGTTCATCTTTTTCATTGTAGCCATGAAAATGCTCAAACTATTGGCTAGAATACTTACTGATAATATAGCAAATAAATGCAAAGTAATGAACTGTGTTTCCCATACACAAATGTAATATATTGAATTTCCATATATGAAATATACGTTTTTCTTTTATATATACATGTATGTATATATATATATATATATATGAAACCTATTACAAATTTTGGAACAATTTCCAATTTCATATATATATATATATATACATACACACTGTTGCTCATAAAGTTGGAATAAAAAATTCTTTACCTCTTTCCATGAAATCATTGTGACAGTGTGATTTATTTCATTTCACCTTGGTAATTGGGACACATAATGTAATCATTGCACCTGGTCAAAAGTGATGACTGATGCATTTAAATAGGAATAAACAGAGGATTGTGTCTGAAAACAAAATTATTCCAACTTTATGGGCAACAGTGTATATAGCCTATACAAATATATGTGTTGCAAGCATATGTGTTCTTTGTAAAAATTAATCATATAGTTATTGTTAATATATGTACATATACAAATATTATCTATGAGTATTTCATATATGTGATAAACTTTTATCTTCATATATTCACAGGATGTGATAATGATGTATCCCCTTATAGTTAGGGACTTAAATGTCATATATTACATTTCTGTATGGGTTAACTGTAAATGTATTACATTTAAATGTGACAAAAAAGTTATTATTAATTGCAGCTTGCACAGAATCATTCATTTTAATATGTGACTTTTGTAGGATGATAACATAGGATTATATCTTAAAGTCATTTTGCTGAAATTTGATATCATTAAAAGGCATACCAGCCCATACAGTATAAGAATAGATTTTATTTATTTAGCATTAATTGGATTACAGGGATTTCCCTAGTGAAACCTGCCTGAAGAATCAAGGAAATTCCCACTCTGGAGTTTCACTGGGAAGTGCTGCTTGTCACAGTAAATTCTTTATTTTTTAATCACCTCAGTGTGAAATTTGACATTTGTGTGAAAATGCAGGAACTCAAAATGTCTCTGCTAATCCACTAAAAACAAAAACATATATCGACCTGTTTGGTGATCAAGGATGGCAGGAAAAAATTAAAGCTATCAGGTGACAAAGACCCCGTCAAAGCTCATCACATGTGCTTTTGTAATGTCAGATTGTCCCCATTAAAATATGCCAAATTAACTATGATCAGCTCCTGTTTGCATTCTTTTATTCTCAATGGACATCAGAGATAATGATATCTTCACAGCCTCCCCTTCAGCTCTGTGGTGCTCCCCTGGGGAGGCTTTAGTCTTTCTCTTCCTCTTTATCCTGCTGAATGTCCATGTTTATTACAAACCAGAACCACAAGTCAAATTCATCCTATGTGTCTATTTTCTTTGCTCTGATTGAAGCCCATCTGCTGAAGACCACGAGATGTGCTCAAAAGCTGTGGAAAAAGCAGTGACTGTCTGTTTTTGTTGCTCTTCATGCACACTTCCGCTGGTGTGAATAGTCTTTGATTGTTAGATTTAAAGCTATAAACCAAAATGGAATTTTGTGTTCAAGCATGTGATGGTAGAGTGAGAAATAATACATTGTACTTGAAGACAAAGAGCTGGTTATGCCTCCAGATGGTAAAAAGGGGGTTATAATCTTATTATCTCTCAAAGAATGGAGGCCATTTAGTGGGTAATAAGGGGCTTTCTTAAATCCTTGTTACATGGAGTATCCTGCACCATGACAAACAAATAAAGACTGACTGCCTTTATGATTTATCCACTTTTATTTGTATAGCACCAAATCATAATATTAATTACCTGAAGGCACTTCACAGGCTAATAATATTGAGAGAAACTTGACAGCAGTGGAGGAAAAACACCCTTCTAACAGGAAGAAAACCTACAAAAGAACCGGTCCTGGGGTGGGGGGGTCTGTCTCGACCACTTGGGTTGAGCGTAAGGGCTTAAAAGGATATATAATCTTGCATTTCAGCATTTTGGTTCATCTGGAGAATCTTCATTGAGTTATTGGGACATCCTGACAATAAATAAATTGCAGTAGTCCAGTCTAGAGGTAACAGATGCATGGACCAATTTTTCTGTATCCTTTTCAACAGGATGTTAATATTTTTCATCCAAGAGACTTGTTTTATATGTGAGATAAAGGACATGTACTGGTCAAAAATGACATTGAATTCTAAGGTAATGCCATCCAAAGTACCTATCAGATAATGTATCTCTAAGGTTTTTAGGGCCAAGTACAATAATTTCAGTTTTCATCCAGGCTTTTATGTCTAAGTTTGACTACTTGATTAGTTTCATCTGGCTTTGTAGATAAATACAGCTGGGTGTCACATGCATAGATAGCAATGGAAATTTAGTTGGTGCTAATATTCCTAAGGGAAGCATATATAGGGTGAAAGTATTGGTCCTAGCACAGAATCCTGTGGAACTCTATGACTAACTTTTTTGTGCATGGAGAAGTCATTATTAACATGAACAAACTGCTACTAATCTGTTTTTTGTATGGTAACCTAGTATATGAACGGGATATTTTACCTGGTTAGGATTCAGCTGATATCAAACTGAAAGATTTCAAAATCCCATAGAATTGTAGGTTGACAAATAGCTGTAATGGTTTCACCTACCTGTTAATATCCTCAAATGTTTATTTCGCTATTCTTGTTAGGTGCTCACTAAGTGAAGGCATCGAAGCGGATTGCTTACCAAAGGAACCAATGGAGGGTAAAAGCTCAGGACGTTCGTGCTCTGGCCTCAATCTAGTCGCACACCCACGAGCCAAAAGCAAAGTCTGGAAATACTTTGGCTTTGACACAGATGCAGATGGCTGCATATTGCACTGGAAAAGGATATACTGTCGCGTTTGTATGAGTCAAATTGCTTACTCCGGAAATACATCCAACCTGTCGTACCACCTTGAAAAGAACCATCCAGTAGAGTTCAGTGAGTTTGTGAAGAGCAACACGGATCAGATGCGTGAGGCTTTTGCCACAGCATTCTCCAGGATAAAGACTGAGCCTTCAGGTCTCCATGGTCAGCAACAGTCCCAGGACTCAAACATAAGGCAGAGCTTAGACTATGAAAACAGACGTCACAATGACCTTACAATAGCTATCATCAACTTCATCTGCGAGGGGCTGTACCCTGTATCTGTAGTTGAAGAGCATACCTTTAAGACCTTAATGAGTACTGTTGACCCTGGGTACTCTCCACCCACCAAAAACGAACTGGCTGTTAAAATGGTTCCTCAGATGTATTGCCGTGCCCGGGACAAGGTCTTTAGCGATCTTACTGGGGTTGTTAACTGTGGTGTTACTACAGACCTCTGGCAAAGTCAAACCCAGAACAGAACATACATTTCACTCTCTATGCATTCAGTTAATTACAATAGTACAACTGGTTTCTCTATGACCAACAAGTGCCTCAAAACTTTTGAAGTACAAGAAGAAAACACGGCTGAGAATATCACCAGAGCAATGTATGAAACCTTTGTTGAGTGGGGGATAACTCATAAAGTCAGCGGTGCAACCACAAATGGTTCAGTAGACATTGTCAAAGCATGCTCGCTCCTGGAACTGTCCGTGGAAATGCCTTGCCTTGGACACACCATCAATCACGCAATGGATGAAGCCTTCCAGCTGCCGCGGCTCGACAGCTTTTTGGGATGCTGCCGCAAACTTGTTGATCATTTCAAAGAACCTACAATGTATCTGCTGAGAGAAAAGCAGAAGCAGCATGGCCTCACTCAGTGTGAACTCATCTCAGACAGGGGTAGGTCTTGGTTGGCCACATTAGCAATGTTACAAAGACTGAAAGAGCAACAGGTTGCTGTTACTGCAACACTTACAGAGAGTTCCATCAGCCATCATTTCAGCTTTGATGGCTCTGACTGGACTTTATTGGAGGGCTTGATTGAAGTCCTCCATCCTTTTAAAGTTGTGGCGAATATGATCACTTCTTGCAGGTACCCAGCCATTAGCATGGTAAGGCCTGTACTTCATATGTTGTTGAACACCAACCTCAAAATCAAGGAAGGAGATATCAAAGAGATCAGCATGACCAAAGAGGTCATCTCCAAGGTCCTATCAAGCACCTATTCACAGAATTTGCCGCTATCGCAAGAGATCTCAACATTCCTCAACATCGCTACATTCCTTGATCCCCGGTACAAGAAGTTACCTTTCCTGTCCACTCAGGAACGCTCCAAAGTTGAGAGCAACGTCATCGAGGAGGTAAAGGCAATCCTTGAGAAGCAGATGTCAGACCAATCATGCCTCGATGATTTCTCCTTGTTGTCTCAAGAGCCACCTAGTAAAAAACAGGCACCTCTAAGAGGATCTTCAGCTAGCAGTACAACCCAAGACAACCCTCTTGCTGCCATATTTTGCCAGTCTGATGCAGACCAGAGCCAGGAGGAGCTGCATGCTCAGGTTGTAGAGGAGCTGAGCAACTATAAGTCACAGAGGGTTCTAGGTCTGAATGAAGACCCTTTACTCTGGTGGTCAAGTCATGCAACCTTGTTCCCCACCCTCCCCAAGGTCCTGCAGAAGTACTGGTGTGTTCCTGCCACAAGTGTACCCTGTCACAGGCTGTTCAGTTCCTCTGGAACTGTTCTGTGTGGGAAGAGGAACTGCATAGCTCCGGCTCTAGTAGATCAGCAGGTATTCTTGTATGAGAACTCGCGGAGCTACTACGAAGCGGAACCCTGTGAGGATGATTTGGACAATGTTTGGGAAGGAAACTGTACTCTGAGTCAGCCTCTTGAGTGACTGGGCTTAAAATTGTATGAAGTCAAACAATTTTGACAACTTTATTCTCTGTGCACTGGGGCCTACATGCATACCTACCTGCTGAAGCATTAAAAAATCAAGGCATTTCAGTCAGTACTATGAAAATGTAATGGACCTGTTAATGATGATACTATAAACCACTAAGAGCGTGTACGTATGTATGCATGTACATGTGCTCTGGAACTTTTACTTTGGACAAAGACAGGCTAGCTGTTTCCCACTTCCCCCAGTCTTAATGTCACATCCTGACTCAGGCTCTTAATCAGGATGAGTAAAAAATGGGAGTGGTATTAATCGTCTGATCTCAGTGTCAGGAAAAACAAGGAAAGAGTGTAAAACAATGCACTTTTTTTCTTCTTTTTTTTGCTATTGTACAGATAAGAGTCTCCATCATAGTCGTGTTTTCTTTGTCAAAATATTTACAGAAAATGTTCATTGTAATAAACATAACAACAGATTCTGCCATAAAATGTTCCTATTGGATCAAACAAATCTGCAATATAGTAACAGTGTAACAGTAATACTGTGAGTTGTCTCTGTTCTCTCTATCTCAATTTTTTTGGCCATATCTGTTGCACTTTGTAAACATAAAAATGTACATTGGCATGTATACTATATGATGTAAAAGAACTTTGTGAAAGTAAAGACTTGTTTTCAATATTTGCCTCAATGGTTGATACTCAGACCATTTTTATTGCAATAGTAATTGTATTGTAAATATAATCACAATTGTTTGTCTATCACAGGGGCAACATACTTTGATTACAGACTAGATGTTCCTGCCTCAACACAGTCCACATAGTCCACTTTTATGTTCTGGCCTATGTGAGTCATTTGACAAAGTCCACATTTGATTGTGGATCACGTCGACTCTGACCTGCACTGATTTGACTGCCAGTGTCAAATCATATTGATACTGATTTGAAGGATTGTATTATGTTCTCATGCGGTGCCCTCTCTCCTCCACACAGTCTTACCCAAGCAAAATGGAAGGGTTGCCATTGTGACGGGGGGTACCAGAGGAATGGGTTTAGCGACAGCGAGACACCTGGCAATCCTTGGCATGCATGTTATCATAGGTAGGCGACTGTCCAATCATATGCCCTTCCTCAGTAAGATTACTGTGTATATACCTTGCTTTCCCTTCTTAATACAGGTTAATACATCTCTGCAGTCCAGCTTTAATTAAACAGACTTTCCCTCCAATAAATTTGTGGTTCATATCCTAAAATTTGATTAATGGAGGCCAAAGTTGCAATGTATGGAAGAGAATAAGGGCTACATGTGAATTTATTAATTTTTTTTTTTTTCATTTTTATAAAAAAAAAAAAAACATAAAAAAATGTACCAAATGTGGCCCTAATCCTCTTCCATAACAATGGTATCAGAGAGCTTGAGTCCAATACTTTATTTTCAAGTTGATACATGTTGTGTGAGGTATTCATAAGACCTGCAATTGTGAAACATCTTCAGCCTCACACCCTATCAAGTTAAATTCAAATGAACTGACTTGTTAGAGGTGACTAATTTGCACTGCTGTAGACAGATGACATGAGTCAGTGAGGGCAGTAGGAGTCAGTCGAAGTTGGTTGTCTGCTGCACATCTGCCCACCTAGTCTCTCTGATCTTCATCATCTCCAGCTGGGAACGAGAGAGAAGAGGGCAGAGCCGCCGTTAAGAATATTCACGAGGGAGGATGCGAGGGGAAAGGTAATTATCAGTCTGTCTCCATCTCTCTGTCTATCACAACTTTATATCACTCATTTAATGGATCCTGTAGTTTTCCAATAATTCACAAACCAGAGGGAAACTGATACAGTATGTACCTGTAAATTCAAAGGAAGGTTCCTGGAAAGGTCTAATTTGGTTTATTTCTGTGAAAGAGCAGGACAGCTGAACATGCAAAGTGTAGTTTAAATTACAAACAGGCAGACAATTCAACAAATATGGAGAATAAAGTTTGTAACAAATCAGTACTGTTGTTTCCTCACCCTGTAATAAAGTTTCAGCCTTTAAAAAACATCCTAGAAATTTTGACAAAATAATCTTCACTTACTAGCTTTTTGTGGAACTCTCAACTGCATCTCATAGTCTTCATCAGGGGATGGAGCTCGCCCAGTTGTCATCACGTGAGTATGATACAACAGTCACATGATAACAGGTGGTTATATGTTGGTCCCTCTTTCTTTAGCCAAGTCTGTCTTGGTCTTTAGTTATGGAACAGACTTTCAACAGATTTACCTCCACAGGTCACCACCACACCAACATTCAATATACCACCAACTAAGCAAACACATCCGCTAATGAAGACCATGAGATGCAATCCTCCAAAATGATTATACATTTTCAAAGTTCTTTAAAGTTCCCCGTCAAGGCAAGTGTCAAACAAAATATAGCAGACTTCAGAAAGAAATTCAAATTCAGAGTAAATTACCCCGATGTGCCCCAAAATTGAATGAGTTCGTCACTGACCGAAGCCCCATCCATGCACCAAGTTCGGTGCAAATCGATTTAGTACTTTTTGCATACACAACTTATGGACCACATTCTAGATTTGATTCCTTGCATATGGAATCAAAGCTTACTCTCTATGGTGAGCTATCCAGAACAAGTAATATAGTATAAGTAGTATAAGTATAACTGCAGTGTAGTTTAATTGATTTAATCTGGTGCTTGAGTTTTGACATTAGAAAACCACAGGCAGTGGTAAGTGGCTCATTAATAACATGGCTGCAATTTGCTAAGCCCAAGACTGTACCAGGGTTTACAGAGAATTGTAGCTTTGTAGCTTCAAAGCAGTTCACAGTTTTAATCCCAGAGGCCACAATCAGTACACACTGTCCGAAATAACATCCCTCTTCACTGCTGGTTTTACCCTGAAATTGTCCTATAAATAAGTTGCACTAATCCATTTGACCGTGTTTAATATTAAAGGGGTCACTTACAGTGACTAACGAGTGTATATCTTTTGCTTATAAGTAAAAGTACCAATACAAAAATGTAAAAATACTCCACTACAAGTAAAAGTCCCACATTCAAAGTTGTACTTAAGTAAAAGTACACAAGTAATAGATGGTAAATAGTTTACTATTTATTATATATCAGGGCTTGTGGGGGCGGACGTGATGTTGCCTTGGTACTTCGTTTTATAAGGTACTTTTTAGATTTTTGGGACTAGGAAGAATATAATGTAAGGAAGTTGAATATACACAGTATGTATATTTCTATATGTGTAGAATCTTTTTCAGATTATGTGGAATCTGTGCTAATCTGTGATTCTGAGTCTAATCTGTGATCTTTTTATTATTATTATTTCTTTTCCTTTTTTTATCACAGTTGAGTTCATCTTCGTGGACCTGACCTCCCTGAAATCAGTGCAACAGTTTGTTCAGATGTTCAGAGCTAGAGGCCTCCCCCTCCATGTCCTGGTTAACAATGGTAACTTGTTTTACTGCAGTACAATAGTGTTACATGTTTCAAAGGGTCCAGCTGTTTGCCAAAGGGTTTGTGGTTTTGTCATGTAGCTGGGACCATGATGGTTCCTGAGATGCAGACAGTGGATGGCTTTGAGTTCCATTTTGCTCTCAACTACCTGGGCCATTTTCTGCTCACCAACTTGCTGCTGGACATCCTGAAGAGGTCGGGACGACGGGGCTGCTGCTCCAGAATCGTCAACATGTCCTCCGCTACTCACTATGCAGGAGTCGTGGAAATGGAGGACTTAAACAGGAGGTACGAGAGACAAGGAAAACTCTAAACCGGTTGTTCTTAGGGTTACTAGGCAGTTCCACAAACACTTGGTGCCCTACTTTAATTCAGCGCAACAACAATTGCTGTAAGTATTTAGTTAAAACGTGTAAGAACATGTTACTTGCTTCACCTCCATAGGGGGAAGCATTTCACCTCTTCGCCCCTGTCCAGTTAATCATGTTGTGTTTTTCCCCATGTTCCTTATAATTTATTATTTATATGTGTGTTTATTCTTGATAGTTAAACTTGTTGATAGCACTGAAACAAATAATGAGTACTTGTAATACAAACAGTATGTTTTTATTTACCTATAAAAATATAAAGGCAAGGGGGTACTGCATGACACATGGGTGAAAGGAATGATGACATCATCACAAAGGCAGAATCAGAAAATAAGGTTTTTACTTACAAGATATTTGGCTTGGTGTTTGGTGCAGTATCCAATAAACATATTAACAGGAAATAATAATAAAAAAGGTAGGACTGCAACAGTCAATATATATATATCTATATCTGTATCTATATATATATATAGATATAGATATAGATATAGATATATAGATACACATATTAAAAAAATAAAACAATGAAAAAAACTATGTACAAAAGTGTTGACAAAAACCCTGCTGAGCAGGATGTGCAAAAGATCACAGTATAGATAATATCTGTACCCCAAGCTGGTCCATCACTGGGGAGGACTGGACTGGAATTCTGGTCCTGATACAGACAAACGTGATAGGACAATTACTTTAGATCATACAAGTTCTTTATATCCAAACATGTTAGGTCTGTTGTGTGTGTATAATAAATAGTAAGGATAGATTTGAATATGCTAAAATAAATACAAGCGTTTGTCGGTACGGTTTGTCATTTGCACTAATGATACTTTCCGCTAAAGACCAACATCAAATGTTACTCACCAGTCTAACAGAAAGGTGGCAGCTTTTCTCTCTCCAGTGATGGAAAACCACACCAGGATTTTTTGAGCATTTTAAACAATAAATTCTGGCCAGATCTTACACATTACACTTTTAAAGGTCCCATATAGTATAAAGGTAGCTGTCCATGTTTGATTATAAAGCAGGTTTAAGTTCTATATTAATACTGTGAAAGTAGTAGTAGTCAACGCGCTCAGTCCACAGAGAAATGCAGACTGCCTGTATTCAGAAACTGAGCCATAAGGACTTCCTGAACTTTGATGTCACAAAAAAGCAGTCAAAAATCCAAATAATTTAAATGTTTTAAAGACATTTCTAAAATGTTGGCCATGATCCTGTAATCAGCTCCCATATGTACCAGTGTACGTCAGGAGAAAACATTAGCTAACATGCTAAATCACTATGAAACAAGACATGATGCTACATTATTTGCTGTACAATTGTGCAACTCAACCCTCCCCCACCCCCTTCTTCTGTCGCCAGGGTCTGCTACAGTTCCCATGGTGCCTACGCTCAAAGCAAACTGGCTCTGGTCCTCTTCACGTACTACCTGCAAGAGCAGCTGACAGCCGGTGGCTTTCCTGTGACCGTCAATGCCGTGGACCCTGGGATGGTGGACACAGCGCTTTACAACAACCTGTGGACCCTTGCACAGGCACTGAAGAAGCCAGTGGCCAAGATACTGTTCAGGGTACATTTTTACTTAAATGACTCATTCATTTACTGAGTTACAGCATTGGTCAGATGACTGAGCGATAAGGTTACACCATGGGTTGGCGCCAGAGTGTTGGAGGTTGTTGCTCTTTCAGAAGGATTTGGTGCAAACTGACTTTTCAGACCCTACAGTAACTTTTTTTTTTCCAAAAAAACTCTGGGGGACTCTGGACTAACCTAGGCTACTTTCCGTAGAAGAGAGTCGCTGTACCGCCATGAGAACGTAAAGTCGGGCTTTCCATCAGGGATGACAATGCCAGACCGCATTCCTTGGAGGAAGACTCTAAGATTGAGTTCAAGTAGGTGTGCAGACCAAGAAGTCACTGTGAAGGCAGCATTGGTGACTTGAATTTGAATTTGGCAGTCATGGGTTGCAAGTGTAGGTTGATGAGTAATGGAGTGACATGTCCTTTTAGGCTGATCGAAGACCAGACAGGCTGCTGTATTCTGGACCATCTGTAAAGGTTTAAGGGTTTCCTAAAGGTCATTTTGATATGTGTCTGAAGTTACTGCACAAGGTTGGATCCGGATTAGGTTTATTTAGAACAATAGCCAACTCGAAATAGTTGGATGCATCAACAATTCAACAACCAACAGCTGATGGTAACCAAAACCAGTTTAAGAAATTTGGTGGGAATGCAGCTGACAGGAAGAGTTGTTTATGTTTGGTCTTTGGTCTGGTGATGAACTCTGTCCCACCTGTGGCAGTCGAGACAGATAAAAGCAAACTATCATCAAATCTAATAGTTGCCACAGTGTCCTGCCAGTGGGACGTTGGCATCCCATCACCTTCCATCCCCTCAACTTGTTTTTCAGGCATCTGTAACTTCCTTTTCAAACCATTCTTTAAGGTACGACTCATTCACATGCTGATTTCTAATGAGTTGTAAAGTTCTATTTTTCACTCTTTGGTAACGTTTTTGAAACTTCCCCACTCAAGAAGTGGAATAGTGAGCCATATATAGACATTTCAGAGTCTTGAACACAACTTACCTGTAAGCAGGTGGTGTTCATCCACCGAAGAGCTTGCTGAATCCAGATTGGATCCGAACTCCGGGCCCCAGTGGTCTTTGAACCTGTTAAAAGTCCTTTTCTTCATGTTTGTCCTCCTCAGACTCCGGCAGAGGGAGCATCCACCACCATCTACACTGCAGTCGCCTCTGAGATGGAGGGAGTGGGGGGCTGTTATGTGTACAATGGCCAGAAGACGCAGTCCGCTGACCTTTCCTACGACTCTGAGCTCCAAACCAAGTTGTGGAAGAAGAGCTGTGAGCTTGCGGGCCTTCAGGAGAACTAATATCCTTCAGACAGATGCTCTCTGGAGCCTTTACCTCACTTTATTATGTTTGACCGTCCACCTTGAGTTTTTCTCAGGAGCAAAAGCCAAAAACCTTAAAGAGGAACAGTCCTTCGAAATATATGTGTAAATTTTTGCAACTTAACATGCAAGTCTAATCAGGCAAAACAAGTTAAAACAGCTTTAGACTCCAAGCGTGAGCTTGGCTCCAACTTCCTGATTTCTAGTGGTTGAGATAATGTTCTATCACAGAGGTGTCTATCATCAGACCACTGGGAAGGTCCTCCAAAACGTTGGTGTCTTCATTATAACAAAGCTGACTTTATGACAGAGTAGAGTCTGTTTTTCCCAAGAGAGCTTAATGGTAAGTGTTTCTCCAGTTGAGGGAATCCAATCTGACCCCAGACCACCATGTGTAATCCTGTGTACACAGTGCAAACTGTGAGTCGTTGTTCATTTATAGTGTTACTACACTAAAGGCATGGTTCGGTTTTCTACCGCTTGATCGCTTAACTCCTGTTACATCATATAATCTAATATAAAAAAAAGGCTCAGAGCCTCTTCTTTTCTGATTGGCTCACTGACCTGTTGTTACTAGAGCCCCAGAGAGAAGCCTGAGAGAGAAGATGTTAAACTACATTGAGATGGTTTGTGGTTTTTAAAACTACAAGTATATCGAGGCGTCAAGTGGCACAGTGGGTTGAGCAGGCGCCCCATGTCTAGAGGCTACAGTTCTCGCTGCAGTCGGCCCTGGTTCGAATCCCTTTACTGCATGTCATTCCCCCTCTCTCTGCCTCCCCATTTCCTGTCTCTCTCTACTGTCATAAAAGGGCATAAAAAACTACAAATATATCTTCAAAATAAAACACAGAAGTTTAAAATATGGGACCTTTAATTAATGAGCAATTACAGTATGATATTATGTAGTGTATTAGAAATCAAAAAGCCCCCACATACTTAGCTTTAGCCTCTGGTTTGCTAACGGCAAAAATGTTGTTTTACTGTTATCGAAATTAGTATTATTATTGTAACATTTAATTTATGGCAAAAGTCTATATTATTCGTCAGTCCATGAAAAGAACCAAACCAACATACACTGTTCTTCTGCCCCAAATGCTCACTAGAAACCCAAATGTGGATTAAGCCACCGCTTAAAATAGTCCCCAACAAATGCACTGACAAATTGTTGGTTTGGGTTCTTTTCATGTGATTCATTGACAATATGAAAACTTTACAATAATGCCTGTTGTACAGAAATATTTTTAAANAATTTTTGCAACTTAACATGCAAGTCTAATCAGGCAAAACAAGTTAAAACAGCTTTAGACTCCAAGCGTGAGCTTGGCTCCAACTTCCTGATTTCTAGTGGTTGAGATAATGTTCTATCACAGAGGTGTCTATCATCAGACCACTGGGAAGGTCCTCCAAAACGTTGGTGTCTTCATTATAACAAAGCTGACTTTATGACAGAGTAGAGTCTGTTTTTCCCAAGAGAGCTTAATGGTAAGTGTTTCTCCAGTTGAGGGAATCCAATCTGACCCCAGACCACCATGTGTAATCCTGTGTACACAGTGCAAACTGTGAGTCGTTGTTCATTTATAGTGTTACTACACTAAAGGCATGGTTCGGTTTTCTACCGCTTGATCGCTTAACTCCTGTTACATCATATAATCTAATATAAAAAAAAGGCTCAGAGCCTCTTCTTTTCTGATTGGCTCACTGACCTGTTGTTACTAGAGCCCCAGAGAGAAGCCTGAGAGAGAAGATGTTAAACTACATTGAGATGGTTTGTGGTTTTTAAAACTACAAGTATATCGAGGCGTCAAGTGGCACAGTGGGTTGAGCAGGCGCCCCATGTCTAGAGGCTACAGTTCTCGCTGCAGTCGGCCCTGGTTCGAATCCCTTTACTGCATGTCATTCCCCCTCTCTCTGCCTCCCCATTTCCTGTCTCTCTCTACTGTCCTATCAAATAAAGGCATAAAAAACTACAAATATATCTTCAAAATAAAACACAGAAGTTTAAAATATGGGACCTTTAATTAATGAGCAATTACAGTATGATATTATGTAGTGTATTAGAAATCAAAAAGCCCCCACATACTTAGCTTTAGCCTCTGGTTTGCTAACGGCAAAAATGTTGTTTTACTGTTATCGAAATTAGTATTATTATTGTAACATTTAATTTATGGCAAAAGTCTATATTATTCGTCAGTCCATGAAAAGAACCAAACCAACATACACTGTTCTTCTGCCCCAAATGCTCACTAGAAACCCAAATGTGGATTAAGCCACCGCTTAAAATAGTCCCCAACAAATGCACTGACAAATTGTTGGTTTGGGTTCTTTTCATGTGATTCATTGACAATATGAAAACTTTACAATAATGCCTGTTGTACAGAAATATTTTTAAAATAGTTAGTAGTAGCATCCAATAAATTTTAGATGTGTAATGTCCAGGCAGTGTATAGTGTAATTTACACTATACTGTATTTATGTGATTTAAATGGTGCTTTAATTTGTGAAATACAGTCAAATGATTTGTATTATTTATATTCCGTATGATCAGGAAGTGTAACTGTAAAACTACTGCGAACTGCCTCATTATGAGTTTATTTGAATGTAACTAGACTCTTGTCCGCTGATTAACACATTATGTTGTCCAATGTATATTAAACTCTACCCTGTATAATGTACAGTTAGAAACTGTAATCCAATCAAAACATTGATCATATTGCACACAAATGATTTAACGTGATCACTGTAAATGGTGCCTTATTCCTGTGGGTTCTTCTAGACTAAGAAAGATCCCACTGATGTTAATTTTAGTTGCTAATAAACCACCTTTGAGGCCAAACCACCATGTTTTTCACTTATTCCAGATAGATAATTGTAATTGTATTTTTTTAACATTATCTATTTTAATAAGTAACTGAATAATATTTGACTTAAAATTTTTTACTTTGAATTTTACATCATCAGAACATGACTGCTCTTGGCCTCTCTTGGTCACCTCTCTTACCAGTTGTTCTAAACTTCTTCCATTTAATAACTATGGAGGCCAGTGTTCTCTTGGGAACCTTCAATGTACAATTTTTTGGTATCGTTCCCCAGATCTTTACCTCGACACAATCCTGTCTCTGAGCTCTGCAGCAGTTCCTTTGACCTCATGGCTTGGTTTTTACTTTGATATGCATTTTGTTTTTGTTTTTTTAGTATACTTATTTTTTTAATTTGGGAAGACGAATAACAGGAACTATTTTCTACTGAAGATAAATCATGGTGAAAACTGTCTCTCCTATCTTGTGGAGTGATTTGGTTGAACTGACCTTTTACCCAGTAACATTTGGAGCAGCCAACCACAGATTTGTTAGGCAACAATCCTGACAAATAACCCTGACAAATCTGTGCTTTTCTCTCTAAATTGAGCTTGGCACAGTGGAAAGGAAAATAGGATTTGGTGCAGAGACATACATGCATCATGTGCAACAGGGAAACTTCTCTATCCTTTTTTTTTTTTTAATTATTTTTAAAATGTCAGTAGGAAATAAGTCACATCAGGCTCGTCCTCTATTGAGAAACACTCTTTAATTTGCCAATGACCTCGCACCAGTTATGCAACATTACTGCTGACCTTCAGAGAGGCTACATAATCTCCCAGATTTCACTCAACCCAAACATTTGGAACGGAACTGGGATTGAAAACTGCCATCATGTGCAGCAGCAGTAGATTACTACCACTCTGTAATGACTCAGAGAGGAGAGAGGATGCTGCTGCTGTGCAGGATGATCCAATCGCTGTAGTGACACCTACTGGGTGAACTCACAACATGTTGAGCCAGAGGATGGCATCAAATCTCGTCATCTTTTCAAGGGTTCTTTCAACAACTATTTGCGTCTGTCCCCTTCCTTCCTGGTTTCAACATGACCCAAACCAAGCTCCAAAAAGAAAAGAATTCTCATATGGAAACAAAAAAGTTGCAGCTGAAGTCTAGTTATGACACAAAGCAGCATGTTGTTTCGTCATGTCTGATTCATAACTTCTGTGTCACAAGCCTCACTAATCTCAAACATCAGAGGCCGGTTGCACTAAACACCTAAATTTGACACCTAATGGTTTTAATTTCTCCTTAGCTGAGGGAGTTACTTAAACTTACACAGAATCTCTTAAAATGGAAAAGTAATTTACAGTGTATATAGTATATATTATCTAGCGAAAATCTTATTCTCTGTTCTGTATATAGTATATATTATCTAGCGAAAATCTTATTCTCTGTTCTGGGAGACTTGTGATTTGGCTGTCGTTATTGCTACTTGGCTCATTCTTTGGAAAATCTCTTAAAATGTTGTCTCATATCTGACCCCATAAAAATGTGGAGGCCAAACAATGTCTTCTCCAATCTTTTTTTTTATTTCAATGAGAAAAAAACATTTAAAGGAGTTAACTTTAATTCTGTATTAAAACATTTCATCATTATATATCATTATATATATATATATATATATATATAGAGAGAGAGAGAGAGAGAGAGAGAGAGTTATATTTTTTTAATTTTTCATTTAAATTGTACTGCTTTGATAATATGAAACAACTTATACAATACTGTACATTTTCCTAAATCCCTATAAAGTAAACCATTTGTAAACTTCAGTGGATTGATCCAGTTTTCAGATTACAGATTTACATCCAAAAAAAATGGATGTACTAAATACTAAAGCGCCAGATTTACAGGCTTACATGTCATACAGAAATATTCCACATAACTTTACCCCACAGAGCTGATGTTTCCTCAGTACAGAAGAGTTCAGAATTCAGTGATTAAAGTCAGTCTTTAATCTCAGAATTGTGACTTTAAACAGAAAAATTCTCAGGTGAAAGAATTCTAAAAAAAAAAAATTATATCACGTGGCCCTAATCCTCTTTGATTTAGAATTCTAGAGAAAGGAAGGGACCAAAGATCAGAATTTGGCCTCACATTTGAACCTTGTGCCTGCAGTGATCCAGATTACAATCAACGTCAGCTGTGAACGGATAAAGAGAAGCAGCCTGACCATGTCACCACCAACTTACAGTATGTTTTAACATCTGATCTGACTGATTAATATTGTAACACAATGTGCATTTGTGGATTATTGTTCTTTTTATTATTGCTAATATTCTTATTGTTCACTTGTTCTTTTGGCCCAGTCTTCCTATGGAAGGTAAAGATTGTCCACCGCCAGGTCCTGTCCTGTGTCCGTGTTGGTCTCAGCCAAAGAAATGTGTCTTTGGTCTGGCCCTGAACGAGCCCCTCGCAGACCCCTCCAGATCCTCTGTGCCCCGGAACGACGTGCTGTGGACGATCTGCGACGTCCTCAATCGCAGCTTCTCCAGTTTGGGCTTCATCCTGCTGAGGGACGACTTTCTCCTGAGGGGTTTCTCTCTGGCCCTTCCCTCCCCGTCCACTGAGTCACAATCAGCCGGGTTCAGCAGCCTGAGGGGCTTCAGGTTTGACTGGAGAACCTTGGAGAACCTCCAGCGGCCTCCATCCCCGTGGTCTACGTTCTCTGAATCTGATTGCTCATACGCTCCGATGATGTCGCGTATGTCCAGGCTCACGCTGTCAGTCAGGTACTGGCAGGCCTTCCTCCCACTGTAGTCTCTGATCTCCAGGTCGGCGGAGTAGGCCCCTACCAGCAGCTTCACCACCTCCATGTGGTTGTGCATGGCGGCGATGTGCAGCGGGGTGTAGCCAGTGTTGGATCGCACATCAACGCTGATGGGAACGTTATGCTGCTTGGCGAAGTTGATAATCAGCGCTATCAGCTCTGGCTTGCCGTGCTTGGCGGCCCAGTGCAGGCAGGTGAAGCCAGTGACGAAATCCTTCCTCAGGACAAGGCTGGGCTCTGTGTTGAGGAGGCGGCGCAGGCTGCCCCACTCTGCATCCGAGGCGCACATCATCCATTCGTGCTCCAGAGGGTCCAGCGTGACCAAGGTCCCGTCGTCATCCAGGTTAGTGGACACCAGGGAGGCTGAGTCGCTATCACTCCTGGAAGACAGGTGAACCGACCTGCGAAACACCATGCTGCGCCTCACCTGGGGGGATGTGTTCATCATGACCTCGATGAAGTGCTTGCGGCTGCTCTTAGGGGTGCTGGTACCGTCACTACCACACAGGCTGTGTGTGTCAAAATGCCCCTCATCATCTGATTCTGGCTCCCGGCGCTGGGATCCTTTAGAGCCTCTGCGCCTGATCACTAGGTGAGTTTCTGCTTCAGATTGTGCATCTGTGGGAGTACCTGCGTCTACTTGTCCTGTACTACCGGTTTGTGCAGGCCCAGGCAGGGTGAACACAGATGCCTCAGCAGGGAGAGGTGACGCCTCAATAACTGAGATTTCTGGTATGTCCGGTACTTCTCTCACCTGCTCCTTCTTGGATTCCCTCTTCTCCCTCCGAAAGCTTTCCGTGTTGCCCATCTCACCTGAGCGGCCGTCCACCTCCACCTCCTCAACTGTGCAAACAAATTCTGGAGTCGTATCAGGAGGAGGAGCAGGCGGAGCCCTCACCTGGCTGTCACTTCCGTAACCTGAGCCCGGTAGTGTTTGTTGCTCAGCCGCCTGTGCTCCGCGTGCACCTTTGCCTTCATTGAAAACTTGCTCAGGTCCCGCTTCTGTCCCGTTACTTCGCCGCTCTTTGAAGGAGCCGCGGAACCTCCTCCTCAGGCATACATATTTAACTCCGTTCTCCGCTTTCACAAAAGCGACGTTGTCCACGTAGTTCTTAAACCTCTCCCGCGACGCCGCCTTCCTCTCCTGCTCCTCGGGGAACACGGCCTTAAAATGCTCCGTTAAATCGGTGTTTCTCACCCTACCGCCTCGCTCCCTCACAAACTCCACAATGGCCTCTTGAGAAAACTCCATTTGAATCACTTCTCAGTATAATCACCCCGGTTTTAATGAGTTCTACAAGCGGGAGAACAACACGTAAACACGGCCCTGCTTGCACCGTCCCATACCGGACAGCTCAGCGGATTATCCGCCGTTACTCTGCTGACGGGACGAGTGAGAACTCGAGCTGGTCTCAGCTCTGTATTTCTACCGCTAAGGCTTCTCCGCCTCCTAGCAACCACACCAGACCATGAGTCAGGCGTAGGGGGGGGGCATGTGAAAAATGTCATTGTTGAGGTATTACAAACATCCCATACGAAATGTTGACTTCGCGAAGTGGGGTCCTTGAGGGGGTTCCTGCGGGTCCCCAGCAAAAAGGGGAATAATTTATTTTCATTTTATAGATGTTCTTTAGTAATTTTTTTAATTAAATGTACAAGTACAAATTTCACTATGGATATTTCACTTATGTTATAAACTTGTATCTTAATATATTGAGCATGTATAGCTATATGTGATAATTATATATCCCATTACAGGTGACATATATGGCAACAAGTGGCAGCTTTGTCCTGATGTGGCAGCAGGCTGCTACTAGAAGAAATCAGCTTATAATGGATTTGGATGTTGGTAAGACTCTTCATGTCAGCTGTTCTCTACACTCTTGTTTTCTTCCACAGCACCCAAGACTATGAGTTTTTATGTCTTACTATACTGTGATGTTTTTATGCCTTACTATACCATGACTTTTTTATACCTCACTACACTAACACTTTTTATGCCTTACTATATTATGACTTTTTATGCCTTACTATACCATGACTTTTTTATACCTCACTACACTAACACTTTTTATGCCTTACTATATTATGACTTTTTATGCCTTACTATACCATGCACTTTTTATGCCTTACTATATATGACTTTTTTATGCCTTACTATACCATGACTTTTTTATACCTCACTACACTAACACTTTTTATGCCTTACTATATTATGACTTTTTATGCCTTACTATACCATGACTTTTTTATACCTCAATACACTAACACTTTTTATGCCTTACTATATTATGACTTTTTATGCCTTACTATACCATGACTTTTTTATACCTCACTACACTAACACTTTTTATGCCTTACTATATTATGACTTTTTATGCCTTACTATACCATGACTTTTTTATACCTCACTACACTAACACTTTTTATGCCTTACTATATTATGACTTTTTATGCCTTACTATACCATGACTTTTTTATACCTCACTACACTAACACTTTTTATGCCTTACTATATTATGACTTTTTATGCCTTACTATACCATGACTTTTTTATACCTCACTACACTAACACTTTTTATGCCTTATTATGCCTTACTATACCATGACTTTTTTATACCTCACTACACTAACACTTTTTATGCCTAACTATATTATGACTTTTTATGCCTTACTATACCATGACTTTTTTATACCTCACTACACTAACACTTTTTATGCCTTACTATATTATGACTTTTTATGCCTTACTATACCATGACTTTTTTATACCTCACTACACTAAGACTTTTTATGCCTTACTATACTGACATTTATATGCCTTACTATGACGTTTTATGACATTTTATGCCTTAAAACGTTTGATATTTTGTTGTATTTATTACTTTTTATAAGTTAGAGATGAAAAATTATTGAGTGTGTTTCCTGAGCCTGATCACACAAACTGATGTAAATCAATGAAACCTGAACATTATTAGAAAACATGATGTGACTGAATTAGAGCTGGAAACAATGAGCCAGAACTCATCTGAAATCATCTAAATGATGATGGGTTGGGTTGAGAAACAATCTAAATGAAAGCTGTTTTTATCACCTTCACTGTTTGTTACAACTGCATTATTGATTATTGATCAGTTGAGTTCTAAAGGAACTAACATCTCCATTAACAGTGTACATCTTCGTACCTTAAAGGTGTAATGTGTAAGATCATGCTACTTGCTCCGTAGGGGGCAGCATTTCACCTCTTCGCCCCTCTTCCTTATAATTTATCATTTACATATGCATTTATTGTTGTTAAAATTGTTGAAAGCACTGAAACAAATTATGAATACTTGTAAAACAAACAGTATGTTTTTATTTAACCACAAAAATATGAGGTCAAGGGAAAGGATTATGACATCATCACAAAGGCAGAATCAGAAAATAAGGTTTATTGCCAGGTTGTTTTTTACTTACAAGATATTTGGTTTGGTGCAGTATCCAATTAACGCATTTATAGGAAATAACAATAAAAAGACAAAATACTGCAACAGTCAAAAAAATAAATATACATAGATACACTTATAAATAGTTTTTGCTCATCAGATAGGGATGGAAACTTAATTTTACCAAGATATTTTGCCCTGCAGAGGATGTGCATCAATGCACAATCTCATTATTTTATTTATGTCACAAGATCTGAGATGCCGTTTTTATCAATAAGAGAGGGGATGACATTCGGCTCAGTTTATGCCACGAGCAAGGCGAGCAAGTACATCTTTGATTGAGATAAACTTTTGCTGTTTGAGGTAACCCTTGACTAATTATGTGTTTGTCATTTCAGCTTTATGACAAAATCAACACTGCAGTCTCCAGACATAATCTATGACTCTCCGACGTACGAGGGCAGTGTTTCTATTGGACAGAGGAGTGATTAAAGTCTGCAGCCTCTGACCACTGTTGAGAAATCAGGAAACTACCTGGTGCAATGAACCACGCTCCATCTACAAGCTGCCTTCAGTATGAGAGGTGGGTGACTCCTATTGTACAACTTTTTCATTGTATCAACCCACAACTCTACTCTCTACTCTGAATCGTAAAATGTGGCAGATTGTTGTAAACTGAGCAACTGCCTGAGACGAACCAGAACAATCAATTCAAATCCTGTTCTGAATTTATTCTTTTTTTTAAAAAAAAGAACCAGTAATAGTCTGAGCTGGATCAATAAGAGTATGGATAAGATAAAGATAAAAATCAGCTGGTTAATGTCTGATGAGCACATCACAGTTTAAACCCCTTCACTTTAAGTCTTGTTTAACCACAGTGAGCTCAGTCACAAACATGTGAAGGATTACTTGTTTGTTCATTAGTAGACGGAGCTTTTTAATATCTTTTAATATCTACTCTCATAAAGTCATAAAGTCATACAGTCGTTGCTGCTGCCTGAGGATTTACACTGAATAAGTGTATGTGTCACCCAGAATCTGGGTTTATTGATCATGCCAGAGTTTCATTTAGACTTTCTGGAGGAAAATTAATCATTTAGATTAATAGAGTAATCGAGAAAATAGTAGATAGATTAATCGTTAGAAAAATAGTTGTTAGTGGCAGCCCTAGACACTGCGCTCTGACGAAGATTCAAAGACTCCATTACCTGCAACATTTGGAACAAATTCATGCTGACAGGGACATGCCAAAGTTTTATAGACTAACCAAAGTATATACAACTGATACATGTCTCTGTCATGGTTTGCCATGGCGGACAATTTAGGTTTGAATTTATGTTTGGACTTTTGTCACTTCCTGTTTTATTTTGTGTGTCTCTGTCTGTACTTCCTGTCTTGGTCCTGCTTCTGTTTGGTGATTGTCTGCCCCGCCCTAATGTGTTTCACCTGTGTTCAATCACCCTCGCCTCCCTTGTGTCTGTATAGTCTCTGTGTCGGTACGTCATGTCTGGTTTGTCCTTGGTCTGTTCATGTTGCTCGTTCATGCCGGCTGTTGTAGTCGCCTGTGTTTCCCCGTGCTTCAGCTTCTGTTCAGTTGGTTCCTTGTTTGTAGGTAGGCACCCTTTTCTTATTAAAACATTTTTGCAATTCATTCCCCTGTGTTGACTGCATTTGGGTTGGATGCACAGAACATCAAGGACTTGAAAGTGCTGCCGCCAGAAACACGACTAAACCAGCAGGTGCTATTCAAAAGATCTACTGACAGGACAAAGACGCTGCGTCAAACTCACTCTACTGAAGTTTGCAATGAATTTGGAAAATACTTTTGAATAAGTCCTGCTGGTTTAGTCGTGTCTCTTCTACAGGAGCTGTTGTATAGTGTTGTTTTGTAGCCAGTGAGATGGAGAGGCGATCTGTTACGTGTCAGTCAGCGTACGTAAGATCTACATCTTACTGTCTTACTGTCAGGACAAAGACGCTGCAAACAGTCCCATCCTCTGTAATAGCTCGTTGATTTCTATCTTGCAAACAGGAAGACGTTTGTGGCACAAACGCCACATCCAGTGCTTTTACTGGTCAGTAGTGAGAGGGCATCCACCATGTGTGTGTGTGTGTGTGTGTGTGCAGAACTGCAATCTTTCAGCCCCTAATTCCCATGATTTCGATTTGGCTGAAATAGTTGCAGAGCTGCTGTTCAGTCTTTGACAAGCCCAAGGATGGAGCTTTATGTTGTCTCTTTTATTAAAACTTTGAAGGCGCATTTTTGAAACCTCCCCAGTAACGTCAGCATTTGAATACAATGATGGTACCATTTGTAAATTGCACCCTCAGTGAAGGGTAATGTTGATGGCTTGTTGCTCGGACCACTTGTAGGTGTACAACTTCTTGAAAATGTTAATGGACTTCATCATTTCTTCATGTTCTGCCATGAGCGCCCTACGATGGGTAATGTCACAGATTTTGTGCAGTTTATGTCCCAATTTCAGTGCGAGGCTTTGTGTTTAGTATGACTGTTTGTCTTCATCAGAACATGAAACATTCTTTGCTCAGCCTGCACAACTCTCTGAAAGTTAGCAGGATTAACAGCCTCCTCTAGGTGAGAATTGTGTGCGCAGGCATAACATCATGTATTCATACTTTGTAGGGTCTGTTGTACAGTGACAGGGCAAACTGAATAATAGACAGGTCATTTCAAACAGCTGATGCAACATCATCCTGTTTCATGGCACGAAGGAGCTTCCATACTCCACTTGAGATGTGATGGCAGGATGCAGACTCTTGAGCAAACAGCCTTGTCTGTTCATTCTGGTTTGTGAAGCTAACCCTAACCCTTTCCTTTGATGTGCTTTTGGTAGAATTTGCTGAGTCTGATGTGTCAGCGGCAATGGCAACCATGTGATCGTCAAGAAGTGGACAACCTTCTGATGTGCTGGGCACAACTGGGATACTTGTGTCAGACCCACAAGATGTTCCAGCACCAGATATTGTCTTCATCATCATGTTACTCAAAGTCTGGTATGTATTCCTCACTGGACATGTTCTGATCATCATCTGGTATTTCTTGTAGTTCTGAATGTGGCTGCAGCCCGACACATGCATGTTTTTTTACGATTCATTTGGCTCAGGCGCTGCATCTTAAAAAACCTGAATTTTTTTCAAATTCATCAACTGCTCAAACTAAAATAATCAGTGACCTCAGACTAAACTCTGATGAAAATAAGGTCTTGATGCTGCAGCTATAAACTCCATTACAAAACTGAAATCCTACTAGTCAGCCCCAAAACAATAACAGCAAAGATGTTCAATAACCTGGGTAAATGACTCTCTGGATTAAGTCTTGGCATTATCTTGGATTCATAGCTAAACTTCAAGTCCCACATCAACAAGGTGACAAAAACATAATATTCCCACCTTAGAAACAGCTGCAGTATGGCCAGTATGACTCTAATGCGTTACTTTACCATGACTTTTTCATGCCAAATAATCAGGCTCGTTACAAAAGATGTGGATTTATAGAAAACAGTTTTACTGATCTCACTCACTCAAAGTTTTACATAAAAACAAAATTAACAAAATCGTCACAGTTCACAAAACACAACACATCACTGTGCTGTTTGTTTCAAAGACTTCAGAGCTGGGAGGATGTCATCCAGTCGTCTGAGTCCTGCAAAACACACACACGATGGGTTAAAAACACACAACACACTGTAAACACTGAAATTTAATGCTTATATTAGCTCACTGAAAACATGATACCCAAATGGAAAGCAATCACACACCATGCTCAGCTATCATGACACATTGGTTGTGTCATTCTTACCCAGAATCTGTAAAATGTCCGTAACGAGGGCCTGGAAAGGCGGGAAAAACTCGTCGTGCTGCTTCGCTTTGACGATGATGCTGAGAAACAAGAGCGGAACGTTGGATTGTTGTAGTCAATTGAAAGCTCTCTATTTCAAACAATGTGTGTGAGTTCCGTATATGTAAACCTGTCAATGTCAATGTCTCCCAGCAGATCGTAGAACTGGGTGCTGTGTTCGCCAGAGGAGACGAGTTGGGCCACCTGGTTCACCACCTGAGCGGGAGGAGCCCTGCTGTCTGACATCAAACAGCAAACTGTTAGTGTACTTAGCATCTTTCAGAACAGTTTCATAGCGGTTAGTGCAGTTAGCATCTTTTCAGAACAGTTAGAGTAGTTAGCAGCTTTCAGAATGATTTGTGTAGTTAGCATCTTTTCAGAGTGGTTAGCATAGTTGGCATCTTTTCAGAACACTTAGCTTAGTTAGCATTGTTTATTTGTTTATGTTGTTTTTCAACTTGTTACTGGCAGTGACTGACTGTTAATGGTTATGCTAATGCTAACTCTGGCTCTCTGTACTGACAAGGTTTTGTATTTATTTTGCTGTTTTAGGGCCTTACTATACTATGACTAGAGGCGCATTAAATAATATTGTGTTATAAATATTGATGCAATAAGGTCTGTAGCATCTAAGGTGGAGCTAATTTATGCTAACCTTTAGCTAATCTTATGCACTGCTGGTATCGTAATCAACAATATTACATCATAATGTTATTATTCTGACTATGCAGGTTACCTAGGTCCAGAATGTCTCGCAGGTTCTTCATGGCGTTGGTCATCTCTCCCAGCCTGGTGTAGACCTCATTCATGCGTGGGTAGACCCCGCTGAGGGAGGTCACGTCAAACAGCCTCTGGAAGTGAGACACCATGGACCCCAGAGTGTATCGAGTGGGACTCCTCAGCACCTGGACAAACACCACCGCAGAAAACACTTTTCAATGAGCAGCTTTCAGTGGAGTCAACCAGGATGTGGATGTGGAAGTGGAAGTACAGAAGTGCTGCAAAATTCTACCTTATTGTCAGCAGAGGTGTTTTCCAGCATTGTGTCCACCGTCAACATCATGTCCTCCACCTTCACCGCTTCTGTAGCTTCATGGCTGCTATCTGACAGCTCCCCGGGCACCAGTCTGGCCGCCAGTTTAGTTAAACCTCGCTGTAGCTCCTGAACACAATGCCAGTCAGTTCAGTCAGGGTTTCTACAAGACTTTTTCAGACCTTTTTAATCCCATTCTGTCCATTCATGATCAAACCAGCAAATATATGAAATCCAGTAGATAGATAAGTCCAGCTCCTGAAATGTGAGAATTTGTAGCTTTTCTTTGTCTTAATTTATAATAAACTGAGTATTTCTGGAACCTGCAGATAAACAGTGTTTACCTCCAGCAGCTGGAGCTGCTGCGCCCAGACCTCCAGAGTGGGGAGCAGACTATCAAAGTCAGCCTGATCCGAACCAAAGGCGGCGGGTTTCCGTCTGTGCAGCCGTAACGGAGCGCTTGGATTGGTCACGACAGCACTGACCTCTGTCAACAGCTGGAATACAAAAGGAAGTGATGTTCAAGAAAGTAGATTTCATAAAACAAACTCAGAACATGTCACAGACAATAAGCTTACATAGTGATAGTGGTCACAGAGACTTGCTTCTCTGGCTTGATCACTGATGTGTTCACTACTCTCTGTCGTGTTGTCTTCTTTAGACCATCTGCAAAGACATGAAAAGGAGGTGTCATTAGACACCGACACTAATCCTGAGTTTAGGCCTCTTTCCCAGGGTGATGAGGAGACTAGCACAGAAACCTGTGACACAAAATAAAACAAAGTCTTTTTCTCTCTCAAATAGTTTCATTTGAGACCTCAAGTGTATTTCATGAAAAAGAAGAAAGAGGAATTAATAATTAGAAAAATCAAATATTGTTTTTTTTGTAATAATATATAGTTCTATTATGTTTAATAATTACATTATTGTATTTTGCATTTCAGGTGTTTTGTTTATTTATATAATTTATAATTTAATATTTTTTGTATTTTATGCTTCAGTTTTTTATAATATATACTTATATTGTTGTATTTTATATTTCAGGTGTTTATTTAATAGCCAAACTCCAAACTGATTCCCTGCTGTTGTGATGTCAATAGAAATGTTCCTACCTTGTGTTAGTGTGTTTGTTTAATCCTTCCAAACGCCGCAGTTTGTGTTTGTAGAACTTCACTTCCTTGAGTGTCGGCCTACCCGGACAAACACAATCAGCCTCAACACTGACGTGACAGCACCAGCACTCGTTTCAGGCAGGATGAACATACTCACTTTGTTTCCAGCTGCTGCTTCAGCTGCTCAGCTTCCCTCTTCAGCTCTTCTATCTGAGCTCTGCTCTCCCTCTGCTGCTCCTGATACGCCTTCAAAGAGACGCACAGATGTTAGCTGCATGTCAACAGTCAAACACACTTTACAAAACTCAGCCACAGTTTGTCAGGTTACCTCGAGAACGCTTCTGAAAGACGGAGTAACATTGTTGGACGTCTTCTTCACTTGTTTTTGATCAGATTCTCCTTTGACAGACCTGCGGTGAAAATGACACAAGTTCAGAAAACTTTTCTGAGTGATCCAATAAAAAAAATGTAGCTGATTACAGGTAAATACTCAGAGAAACCAAATTCTGCAAGGTTTGGATGGTGGGTCCAGGTGAGGCCCTTAAAAAGGCAACTTAAAAATGATCTCCATCCAGACCAGCATTTTAGATCCATATCAGAAATTATCTCCATCTACGCAAACATATGACCACTCACGTACACCTGGTGATGCATGAGCTGGTGTAAACAGGAAGAAGTTTGTCTACTCTGCAGTTGATTAGCTACAGTAAATCCTCTGAAGGTGGAACAGCAAAGACAGTTGTAGCGTTAGAATACAGAATGTAACTGAACAACAGCTGCAGGCAAAAACAACAAGGTCAGCAACCATGTTGTGTTCACTACTGGTAGCCGAGACTGATAAGGCCCAATCAGGAGAGACTGTGGGAGTCTAAGTCATCGTTTCCAAAGGTCTCAGTCTCTGTCCGCCCAGACTACAACACAACCCCAGAGGTTTCAAACTAAAACGGGTTCAGCGGCATTTCCAAAAGTCTCAGTTTTAGGGGCTCGAAAACTGGACGCCAGGAGTAAATGTAGCATGTGTTTTATCAGTGTGGATGCAGAACGTTACCTGAGCTCATCCATCAGCTGAGTCATTTCAGCCTCATAGAACACGATAACGTCCAACACCCTGCAGATACAACATATGGAAAAGGAAATTTAGTTTAAGGTTAAATTATGATTCAAATTGTTCTTTTTGAGCAGAAAAACACACACACTCTGCACCATCTAGTCTAAAACACCGGCTGTTGAACGCTTCTCACTGCTGGTCTGCTGCGGAGTTGTGTCGGCTGACTCTCCTGCAGATGTGCTGGAAGGTCTGACTCTGGCGCGCCGACTGACGCTCTTCTTCCTTGATGGTAAAATAAAGTTTCCTCTGAAGCTGAGTCGCTTTCTCCCTCTCCCTCGACAGCTTATGCTCCAGGACCTCACACCGTTTCTAGAAAGATCACACAGAGGGTTTTGTATCAGTAATGAGCTAAGGTGGACCCTTAAACAGATAATTCATCATTAATGCAAAGCCTCTTCACACACTTGACTTTCTTCTTTTTCCTGCTGAAGCTGCTGCCTGTGGCTGCGATGCTGGACAGCCTTGCCGAGGTAGCGGTCCTCCAGGTCCTGGACTCGTGTCTTAACGGTGTCCAGCAGCCCCTCCAGCTCTGTGGCCCGTTGAGACTGCTGAGCCGCTCGGCTCGTGTGCTCCTGGACCTCCTCTCTGATGACGACACACAATTATCACTTATGGCTAAAATGTTCGAGTGTCTACATACTTTTGTCAGTGTAGTGTATCTGAGGTATACCAAGTTTCTATTACTGATAAAAAACAGACGCATTGGATAAATTCACACAGTCAGCTGGTTGCACGTGTGTCAATCAGCTGGTTGCACCCCAGCTTCAGGTTAAGCTATAAGGTGCATCTCTGTGATACTGGTCTGATGCTGATGAGATTGGGTAACAGGAAAACAGGTGGTCTCCACAACACTGCATATACATTATTAAATAGAAACGTGGATGCAAAACACCCACAGACATGTAGTATCTGCCCTGTAGCTGCCTCCCTAACCAGTAGGTTATTATTCTTTTAATAGCTGACACATAAGATAAATATCCACAAATACAAGGTATGATATATTAACTTGCAACATTTCTTCGACACTGGAAAGTAAACAGCTGTTAATGCTAGCATTAGCTAGGTAGCAATAGCAAAACTTACAAATATCTCCTTTAACTGTAAATTGTTTTAAGGAGTTTTCTTGTATTTTAACTGTCTGATTAGTCACTCCTCTCTCCCACAGAAGAAAAACACGGGATGTGACTAATTCATGAAAAACCAAATAAATGTCATGTGTTCAATGTCTAAAAAACACTCTTAATTTGGATAGGTATTAATAAAGTGTTAAAAAATGTCTCATCTTCTGAATCTTACACTACATTATAGACAAAGTGAGGCAAGCATCCTGCATGGCTTCATCTTGGGGCAAAAGATGACAGTGACTAATAAAAAGTGATTCTACTGGATAAAAATTTACATTTCTAACAGGAATGATCGGCTGCTTCCTTGTTTGGCTCACTTGAGTTGGTTATTGGACTTGATGAGCTCCTGGATGAGAGCCTGTCTCCTCTCAGAGTCCGTGAGCATCGTCCTCAGAGTCGCCCTGATCTCATCAGCTGACCTCTTGTCCAGCAGAACCAGATCTAAAGACACATGGAGAGTTCATGCATTTAAAAAATGAATATATGCACTTATGAATATATTATCCGTTAACAAAAACAAGGTAACTAAACTGTGAACTCTTACCTGAAAGGTTCTTATTCTCAACAGGATCTGCAAAGTACACTGGCTTAAAGCCATGATGCTGGAGGAGTTTATTCACATCATCCCACTCCACCTGCTCCTGCTGCAGCACAAACAGCAACAATCAAGGAGCAATACAAATCAGACATTAAAGAGCTATGTGAACCTGTGCTCTACCTGGAACTGCCTGAAGGTCCACAGATAAACATATGTCTTATTTCTCCATTGTAAAAAAGAAGTAGCCCTGCTCTCCATGTCCATTCTACACAGTCCTCCACTCACACACAAGCGGCACTACTTCTAATCATTGCAGGACTGGAGTGCGTCTCATCTATCAAACCCACCTCAGATCCGGTTTCTGCAGACCCACACAGCTGAGGAGGAGCTGCCTCTGCGCCCACTGTCTCTCTCACACTCACACACACACACACACACACACACACAATTGTGTTCAGTGTTACTCACCTGCTCCATTGTCTCACCCCGACTGCAAGAAATTAAACAATTAGAGCGGCGTTAGTGGCCAAATACACAAAGACGCTGAACTCCATTGAAAAATTCTCACAATTTAAAACTGCGACACTTTCGGGGATAATACACTACTAAAATATGTCAGAAATAAACTATATTGAATCGTAAAACTATTTAGGTAAATTCGGCATTCAAGACATGAACAGAGGTAATTTACTTCGATAAAAAACACATTTCCTAATCTCGAACGAGGAGCTCGATAAGCTTCTAGCTAATCCGGATACATTAAAGTTGTATCGTTAACCTGCTACAGTTAGCGGACTTTTACTTTAATAACAGTAAAAGACACGATACTGACTGTTAAATGAGTTATATGTAGGTATTATTATTTGTCTACCTTTACGGAAGTGCAATACTGCAGTCAAATAACTGTTAAACTATGTACAAGACTCCGTTCCGTAACTCAAATAAATGCGCGCTTACGTCATCAACCTTAACCAATGGGATGGATGGATTTTCTTCTTCGTCTCCTTCTTCTGTAATGCGGTTGATATCTAACAATTGGATGTATTACCGCTACCGACTTGGCTGGAGTGTGGATACGAGACTGGCTGTGGTTGAAAAAACAAATTAATGTCCTTTCGTAACATTTTTTTTCAAATGCTTTATCACTCAAAACATTTTCCATTTCATCTTATTAAAACTATTAAACACTGAAATGGAGAAAACAATTATAACTTCTGAAATAAGATATATAGTAAAATGATATGGACTACACATACAAATAAAATAAAATTAGGAACCTTCCAAAGCAAAAAAACACTTCCAGCTGCAAAACACTGCAAGGTCCAACCATATCTTAATAACTTTCAATTAATAAGATAGTAGGTCCCAGTACAACTATTTCTGCACTACACATTAGCAACCACAAGATGGCAGACATGTTACTGCTAAAGGAAAAATAAATCTGTTTAGATCATCTATACTTTAAGCCAAGGGTGGAGTATGGAATATATCTATCTATGTATACATATTTATGGGGATTAAGACAGTGTTATTGCTATCCCATTTCTAATGTTTTATGACAGTGAAGGTGTTGAATAAAATCTGGTGAATGCTGCACTACTGTTGTTGTTGTTGACATAATGCCAGACACTGGCTGTTTATCTGCCGCTATCTAAAGCTTTCCTCACCACCATCTCCACATGGGCTGTTAGAGACCTATTACTTTGTGTTATATCAGCCACCGGCACCTGTGCAACACGAGAGAGTCACATAATCTCACTGTGGATTACCTGTCCTCTCTCTGTAACGCCAGGGAACAGCCAGACCTGCAAACACACAGACACTTATATATTGACTTTTTTTTTCAGCAAGAATCTCTGGCTCCACCGCCACCCCACCACCCCACCCCCCACCCCCCACAGCTGATAGAGTCAGGGTAAAAGTGAGTGAAAGGAGAGCTTCAGGGTGAAGTGGGATTAGTGAAAACAGCTCTTCATACTTCTCCACTTTCCCCAATTTATCTGCAAATTGTGTTTCTGGGCGCTGGGTCTTTGACAGGGAGGACAAGAAACAGACCTTGTCCTCGATAAAAAATTTTATGTCTTCCCCTCAACCACTATGATGATTCCCCGTCTTTGTAAACAGAATACTGCAGCTGAAGATGCTGGAGTAGAGCCTTGTTGTTCTGTCCTCTCTGGCTCAAAGCAATTGAACCCAATCAGCCACTTAATGGGCCAATACGTGAACTTAATGTACGTACAGTAAAGTGGGTAGCACTCAAAAAAAGGTTTGCCTTTTCTTTTAGATATAAATCCACTTTATAATTTAATTTTTGTTTTGTCTGAATTATGCCTTTATCATTAGCATAACAGTGGCTTAGTTTACTTAGTTTTCATGAACTCTGTAAGCTATATACTATTAGCTATCAAATAAAAATATAGCAGATTTCAAGTAAACATTCAGATAAACCAAATCCTGTTTTGTTGTGACATCACAAAGTTCTGATCCTCAAGAATCAATTCACTGTACCTATATTCATCCTGTGTATCAATCAATATGAAAACAAACTTTATCGCATCCATCATACAATTTGCTGTTCATTACACAATAGTCAATTATGACTTTGTATGAAGTTTACATTCAGTCAGTGACCAATAATTCCTATAAAGTATCTTCTAAGCAGTGTATTTAGAAATGAATAATAATGAGCAGGAGCAAGGAATGGGCTCAGCGGTCCAGGTAGCATCGCAGTGATGTAATCGCCTGCCATAAATCACAGCAAGGGTCAATGGGAACCTCAACGCAGCTCAAGGCCTAAATTTCCATTTTAATTTTCTGCTCAGTGGAGTTGATATATGCGAGGACACAGTGAGTAGCCAGGCTCTTCGGTCTCACGTCTATCCATCATTAAATGACAATGACCTTTCCTTTCTTGGATCTGTGAAAACAAGAGTGTCTCACACGGGGAGACAGGTAGGTGTGACACCAGTCGTTGCAGATTTACAATTCATTTCAGATGCTGCAGCTGGTCAGTAGCATTGGTCTTCTGAGATACGCTTAACCTCTGAAGACCATACCTTAAATTAAGTCATTAATTATACGCTGTTTAGACATGGGTTAGGGTTATGGTTACTTGGCCTTGATTCGACTGAATTCAATTAATTTCAATTGATATAGCGCCAAATCATAACTTATTTGAGCAGGTCTAGACCATACTCTTTGCATTATTATTTACACGGACCCAATACTCCCCCATGAGGACTACTTGGCGACAGTGGCAAAGAAAAAACCCTAACCCTTTTTACAGGTAGAAACCTTGAACAGAACCCGGTTCACGGTGGATGGCTGTCTGCCTCAAGAGAGAGACAGAGGGAAGGGGGAAGGAAAGAGAGAGAGAGAGAGCAGGAGAAAAGAGAACATAGCATTGTGCAGGATCCTATGGAAGCTGAGAAAGACCACACTTGACATAACGGGATAAAAAACTATTTGCAAGTATGGCCTTTCTCAGCTTCCACAGGATCTACATAAAGATGTACAGTAATAATCAGAAGAAGAACAACAATAGAAATAAGAATACAATGATAGGACTAATAAGAAATACATGCATACCTGTTTCTGAGTTACTTGTCCTGGCTGACATCTGCTCCTGATCAGACATCCAATGAGATCTCCACTCTGCACCAGCGGTCTGCCAAAACCAGCAGCTGAATCTTCTGGTGCCAGCTGCTTTTCCAGACCTCCATCCTTGTCACCGGTCTCCAGGTCATCTTCCGGAGCTGCTTCTGTATGGTTGTCGTTGATGCAGCAGCTGGTTTTTGAATAAATTATAAGTGGAGTTTAAACATAAAAGACGATCCATCTCATACCACAGTTCTACTGTCTTTACATTTATGTGGTCAAACAAATATTGAAATTAACTTACCAGATGATATGTAGAATAGTAGCAGACAATCTATGCATTTGCATTTGCCCTTTCCACTCAGTACGGTTGTCCACTGCTTCTGCTTGCAAATGCCACCATCTTGCTAAAGTTCAAGATAAGGTGGTGTCATCCCTGTGTAATCTCAGTGACATTAGAATACAAGACATCCATGACACAGTCAAACGGTCCATGCAAGAGACTTGATGCTGAGATGAAATTGTCATGTCAGCTGTTCCACCCAGTTCAGGACTTTAGCTGCTGGAAGTGGATGAACCAGTCTGTTTTGAGGCTTTTTCTTTATGGACTTCCTGACTTTGTTAAAGATGGCCTTGCTTCTCTTGACCTCCCTGGTGATCTCGCGCCCTTATTTCCCTTAGTGTCTACATTGACACTCGTCTCAGAGAGAGGAAGAAGAGATACCGAGGTTACACTGTCCACCATCCGGTTCTCCACCTGCTAGCTGATGGGCCGCACTCGACTATCTCCAGACGAACATCAGCACCGCCTGCAGGAGTGGAGGTGTCTCCCAACAGTCTGGTCAACAACTAAACAACAGTTTATGAGACTGACAGGTTTTGTTCAGCAGGATCATCTTCACTAATGAACAGCACTTTATGATTTTTTGAAAGTAAATACAATACAGTAGAAGTAAAAAGCTAATGCTAGGCTATAAAGGAACCACACCACGATCACATGACTTCAACGTCACCACCACTAAACTTCAACTTGTAGTTTGGTTTAGCGCTGACCCTCTTACAGAGTTGGTGAGAGCACAAGTATAAACACAATGAAGCTATAAAGGCGAGCAGACTGTGTTAGCCACTTGTTAGGAACCTTTTAGGAAGCATTTTTTACAGCACGCAACCGCTTGAAATAAATCAGGACTGGGGTTCTTACTGCTAATTTTTTGTCGTGGAATAAAATGGGAAAATGTGCTTAATCTTGTGTTAAGCACAGACCTTAATTCAGCCATATAACCAAAAACCCATAGGACGAGGGAACAGGAAGCGATAAGTGCGGTGAGTTATAATAGATGTTGAAATTTAACTACCACCACCAAGGACGGACAAATAATCTTAACTCAAGGTCCACTCACTTGTTTTTCAGCTGATGAAGATCATGTGATTGAAATGTGTCTCCATGCTAACTATAGCTAACACCCTCCTTGTATTTCCTTGTATTTAAAAGGAAAGACAACCAAAAAAAAAAATAACCACAGTAGCATTTTATTAAATCTCTATCTCAGTGACTTGACTTAGTTTCTACATATTTTATATATTTTTCATGCTTTACATGTAGGACTCATGCATTAGGCCCTGGAGTCTTGCTGTATTTTACAGGGCAATTCAATAACAAAGTGCATGAAGTCGTCTAGAGCTGCAGAGGCTCACCAACAACCAACATATGGACAGAGAGGACTGACATACAGAGTTTTCCCTTGTTTACCTTTTTAAATTAAATTCTAATTAAATTAGAAACAGAAGGAAAATATATAAAGAAAATAATGTTAGAAGTAAATAATTCAAATATGCCCTGTGGTAGTTGAGGCTGGAGGTTAAAAGTCAAGAGTCCTTTACAGCGGAATAATGATTCTTAGAAAATTAAAACATATTTCAGAGTTAAAATTTACAGGAACAAAGAAAGAAATGTAACATTTGACGGTAAATACACATTATACTGGATCATTTCTGTGCTACAGAGCGAAACAGGTGATTTGGTTTGAAAGAGCAGAAGCACATACTTAAGAGTAAAACACCACTTTACACATTATCACCAACGTACAGGTGAATGGTTTGAGATACTAGGTTTGTAGAGGCAGGTTACTGTATTAAAAGAACATACAAAATAAATAAATTCTAAAAGATTTGAAAAATGCTGACATCATCTTTGGTGTGTTTTCACTGTGGTAAAAATGACTGTTAACACCAACACTAGCAGTGTCTGGGTTCTGCATATGGACTATATGACTGCAGGACAGATTCACAGACTGTGACATGTTTGCATAAGAGTAGTTAGAGTAATCTAGTGCAACAGGGCTCACGTTGAACCAAACCTGCACCAGTTTGATGCCAAACCTGTGGGGAGAAAAAATTAGCAAAGACAGAGGATGAAAGGGCAGGTGGAGACAGCAAGTCCAACAAAATGAAGCATCAGTTAAAATATCATGTTTGAAATTTAGTGTTTCTCAAACTGACTTCAAAGCCTTCAAGCTAGTGGTGTATATGTGTTGTTTTCAATAAATCATTGGCTTTACCCTAACAGTAAAGAACAGTATGAAGAATAGTTAGTACAACCATCTTGAACCATGCAACTCTTTTTTATGCCATTAAAATAATTTAAGTGATTTGGACACAGCCTAAATGTAATTGTGCCACGTACTATAGAACTTTACGACCGTTTTTCAGCTGTCTGGACTGATGCTCATTATATAGGCATTGTTGAGTCTTTAATCCATAGTTTTACACACTTAGATACTGAACTGTGGTGTGAAGCGAAGCAAGAAGTGAAAGGCATCCGAGTGTGATTATTATAGATCAGTGGTTCCCAACCTGTGGGCCGCAAAGGTATTGCAAGGTGGCCAACAAATCATTTGCAAAACAGCACAATTTTTGTGAAAAGATGTAACTAGAAAAACATAAAATAAAAATATATATAATGTTTTTAATGTTTTAAAGCGAAATTATGTTATGTTATGTATTTAGGCCTGTCACTGCGATACCCGCATGATAGGAACTTTTTATGTCGTCACCAACCGGACCACATCGTATACTTGTTTGCCATCTCAGTCCGATAGCATGCCAATCAAAATGGATAGCTGGTTAGCGACAGGAGGAGTTAAAAGGAAAAATTCAAGAAACAGATGGTCAAAGAAAAAAGGGAAACTGATCTTCCGGATGATCTACGGACGTGGGTCGCCAACATTTTTGTGATTTTTTAATTGGGCCATGAGGTGAAAAAGGTTGGGAACCACTGATATAGCTTAAAACTAAATGCTGTATCCTTGTGACCTCAAATTAGCCGTGAGAGAGCTGCAGCAGAGTCGATGAAAGAGGACATTCTTCAGTTATCAGCACTGAAAACCTTCCTTTCTATAAATTTGGTACTATCATACATGCGAAATGAATACATCACACACAGCAAGTTTGCATTGCCACAGTCTTCCTTTGTATAAAGTTGCATAACTGATTGAATAATTATCTTTTTTTTTTAATAGAAGTTGTAGTGCTGGCTGAAACAGAATAGCATGAGGCTATTAAAAGTAAGGAGGAATGTTAAATCCATGGATTCTGACATCTGGATTCGGTACCTCTTTCTTCCCAGTAACACACAGTCCAGTCCATGACAATCCACAATCCACCAGACCGGTGCTTCCTCAGGTGGTGAGAGCGAACTGGTCCTGCTCTATTGGCTTCTTCACCCAGGCACCCAGGCCGGCTCTGTGGAAGGCTCTGAAGAGGGTCTGCTTGGCGGAGTGGTACTCCACTGCTGCCTGCTTGGCCTCATGGTAGCTGCAGGGCCGCAGTGTTCTGATCCGCAGGGTGGGGGACAGCTACCAGAAAGAGGGAGGGAGAGAATGGTGAGTCAATAACAAAGATGTAACACTGATACTAACACTTTTCTGCCTTATTGACGTCCATCTCTACTTTACCTTGCAGTGCAGACGCATCCAGCGGCTGTAGAGGACGTGTTTACAGAGTCTGGATGGTCGGCCCAGATCATCTTTCCCTGTGGTGGCGTTGATCACCTCCAGTCCTTGATCCCCCACCGTCCAGTTCACGCTGAAGTTGGGTGCTTTTCCTGGCTGACGGGCCTCAGCGTTACTTATTCCTGTAGAGCATAAAGGAGAATCCAATTTCATAAAGCAGACGACTGGAGAACTACTATCCAGAACAAGTGGCAAAGTGCCAAAAACTGAAGTTCCTCGAATGGCCACTTGAGGGTGGCTCTAAAAGCAAATCAATCCAATAGACTGTAAATAAAGATGGACGTAGCCTCTGTGACATCAGCCACAGGTTTCTGAAGTGCAGTTTATGAAGCTCAGAATGAGCTGCTCCACCGTCACCATCTTGGCAGTGTCCGACTCCACCCCTAACCCCCAGCTAATCAATATCAATAAATCAGTAAAAATGAACAAAGAGGCAGGGCATGTGTGGAGCCGAGACTTTGGTGTATGATGCCAGTTTGTGGTAAAGCATTTGCTCAATCACCGTTCAAAGTGGCCACACCCCAATTACACATAACTTTAAGCCCAGTCTTAATGTTGTTAAACAATCACCTGTCAGTTCCTGTTTAGAGATTCATGGGTACCTTGAAAGGCGCTATAAAAATCTAACATATTATTATTATCATCATTAATTAACTTTAAAAGGTCCATATTTTATACTTTTCCTGTGTTTTATTTGAAGTGTTGATCCATAAGAAGATATATTTGTGGTTTTAAGAACCAAAAACAAAATCCCTGTAGTTTTACATCTTCTCTCTCAGGCTTCTCTCTGGAACTCTAGTAACAACAGGTCAGTGAGCCGATCAGAACAGAGGAGGCTCTGAGTCTCTCCTTTGATTGGCTGACTGTTCTGAGTGATGCAATAAAAATATAGCAGATTTCAGGTAAAACACTCAGAGAAACTAAATCCTGCAAGGTTTGGATGGTGTGTCCAGGTGGGCGGGGCTTGGGGCTGAGAACGGTGACTGCTTTGTTGTGATATCACAAAGTTACAGAAGTCCTGACGGCTGGTTTTAAGGCTCAGTTTCTGAATACAGGCTGTGTGCATTTCTCTGTGGACTGAGGCTTTGATACTTTCACAGTATTAATATAGAAGCTAGACCTGATCTATAATCACACTAC